AGACAGTGTTAAAGAGGGAGCTCAGACAGTACCAAAAAATGGAGAAGAATCATTAGGATATGATAAACAGAACCATGTTGATAGGTCCCCCCAGGGGGTCGAATTATTATCTAAATATTCTCAAGCAATAAAAGAGTACGGGGCTTCCGGCACATGTAATTTCTGCTACGAATATACCTGTTTTGATGAACGATTGAGCAATAATGAATTAGATACCAAATTAAGAGAACTGCAAGAAATGCCTGAGAGATGGGAATTATTCTTTATCTATTGGCAATCATACAGGAATGAGACAGAGCAATATTATAGAGTCAGCAGAGCTTTCGTAAAGACATTATTAGAATTGAGGAGCAAAAGGAGTAATATGACTCTCGAAGACTATAAGGAAGAGTGGAAACGATGTGAAGCAGTAGTGGGTAATAACTTTATAAAACAGCAGGACCATGTTGCCAATGTATTCTATACATTCATAGACAGGGAGAATCTGAGTAATGATGATTTCAAGAACATTTTAGAGGAAATCCGAGCCTCCTGGAAGGAAGTCACAATAAGGACAAAGAAGGAATGTATATCTTTCATTGAGGATAGATCTGAACGTGAAGAAGGGATGCGTCGGGCTGCACAAGCCTTGAGGAATGTGGATTGGAAGGGCAATTGATCAGATTACTTGTATTCTCCGTCTTTCCAAGAGGTATTCAGAAAAATTATAAGGAGTAACCCGCAAAAGGAATAATAATAGAGTACAATGAATCGGGAGGTCAGGTTCTGCAATGGGGATGTAACCCTAATAATGTTGGAAGTAAGAAGAGAGGGTTGCTTTAACAGAGGGTGATATTATTTCATGTATATATATGTACCTATATAATACCTTCAGGGCTGATGCTCTCAGTGAAGCTCCAGATTTAATTATGCCCTGGATCCTTCCAATGGTAGAGGATTGTAAATATTCACAGCTGCATAGAACGTCGCATAAGCATAAATGAGAAGTGTAATATATATGTTATGTAGATCATTTCGGACACTTGGCAAGGCTGGAAAACAGATAAAGAGAAAAACTCAACAGGACGCTTCAATGAGAGAAAAGAGAAGGGGACGAACCTTAATTCCTTCCCATATGCATTCAGATTATTTGGCCTATACTATTGACATAATCCTTTTAAAATTTTTCTTGTTATATATCTTATTGCGTTTCGTAGTAATATGAACTTGCAATTTTGTCTCTTTAATGCCCCAAATGATAGACAGAGTGTGTGTATATCGTATTCGTCGACTTCCATATTCCTTTATTTTGGCATATATCTTTTGAGTTATTATTTCTTTCTCTGTTTTTCTATCGTATTAATTCTGTTATTGTGACGTCCTCTTTGTAGGATGCTTAGTAGGAGTATTTAGGAGATGCTTTGTATTGGTCTTTTCCCTTTTTTTTTGTTCTTACACAAAACTTATGAAGAATTTCAATACAGGAAGGTAATCTCGCAAATGAAGTTCATGTTAAGGACATGTTCGATGGAAAACAGGGAGCTGATGATCCAGAGCAAGATTCTCTAACAGGTGATTGTTACTTATTTAGAAAATTAGAAAACTTGGAGGAAGAAAAACTGGATAGATCTGAAATGCTACAGGGGAATATCATTAGAGATGGAATCCATGCTTATAAAATAGATGACTTCCTACAAAGCATTCATCGCTTACGTGAAGGAGCTGTAAACTTAGAAGATCCTTTATTTAAATTATACCAATCTATACAGAAAGATTCAGAAGACTGTACAACTGAAATGTCATGGAACGTTGATTCAGCATATAAGGCTGCATTATCTCCAGATA